GGAATATTTTTATCAAGATAATCACTGCAATTGCTGCTGATTCTGGAGGAAAATATGCAAAATGAGGGAGCGCATAATGACAAGCATGATTCAACAGCTAAAGGTATTCCAAGAAGTAATCGAAGGTGCTGCTGTTCGTTTATTTTTAGAGGCAGTTATTAAGGAACTGAGATGTGTTAGCAAATATTTCTGGCTTTCTCAATTTATTCTGTCTAATCCATTCAAAATAATACAAATTCATACAGATTATAGAAGAACAGAGGGTTTTTTTCTTAACCAATCATGATGGAATTTGAATAGGTTTCTGTGTTACAGCACTAAATTCTACAGTCAGTGAGCCAATTGGAGCCATCACCAATCATATCATCGTAGACTCCAGAATGGGAAAGCTATTTTGTGCTGTTGTGATCCTTAATTTGGGGAGAAAAAGATTTTTTGCTTTGCTCTGAACGATACATTACCTTCAAGTTTTAATTTGCACTGTGAAAAAGTTAATTTCAGAAAACAGGGACAATAACTACAATATTTATGATGTTATACGTTTTGATCACCTTCAAACTAAACCAGGATTAAATATACTTTACTTTTCCAGGATTTCACTATTCTCTGTGTATTTCTAGTGTTGTCTGTTTAAAATAATTTGGAATCTCCTTGCAATTTTTAATGTAGATTTCATTTCTGTAGTGAAGAATATATCCTTACTAAATGTTTCTAAATGCACAGTTAATCAAGCATATACAGTTTTTCTAATTCTTTTCATAAATTGATTTTAAATTTGCTTTTTAGGTTTAAGGTCAAAAAAAATAATCTCATCCCCTTGTATTTTAGTGTGCCAGCAAAGTGAATGGGGGGAGGTACGGAACTACGAAAGACTACCCCGATGATGCTATCCGATTTGCAAGAAGCCATCCACTTATGTACCAGCCCATAAAACCTGCCCATAAAAAGCCAATACTGGTGAAAACTGATGGAAAATATAACCTGAAACAAATAGCAGTGGATCAAGTAGTAGCGGAGGACGGCCAATATGATGTCTTGTTTATTGGGACAGGTAAAGAGATTAGAAAGACTCGGAGATAATCAATAACATTATTAATAATTTAAAATTTATCTTTATTACTGAAGGTATTACAGATGTACCTACCCTCACTCCCCCCTCCCACCCCCACACACTGAATCTCAGAGGGAAAGAAGGGTGGGAAGAGATTAACCAAAGAACTTATATGCATATATGCATAACCCATGGAAACATTATTAATTTTAAACTACCTAACATTTTTTAAACTACCTATCAAAAAAAAACAAAACAAAACAAAAAAAAACCTCCTTTTGATCCATTAGCCTATTACACACTGCTTATTTGCTGCAATGGAAGAGAGGGTTTGGGGCAGTTACAGCACCTAATTTGTGATACATGGTCAATACTTAATACATTTAAACAAATGAATACATGAAGGAACAAATCACTGGCGTTAGTAAGCAATGCCGGTTTCAAGTAGAACTTCTCATAGAGGAAGTAAGGGCTGTATGTAGATGGTTCTCTTGCCATTTCCCAGGTCTGTTATCAACTCTGGCTGCTTGGTAACATCTCAAGATTTTTTAAACATTTAGGACAATCATTTCACCTAAACCTATAAACACAGCAATGTTTATCAGGCCCTATCAGAATCAACCATTTGTACCAAATAGGCCAACTGTTACTCATAATGGAGGTAAACTTTTAGACCAAAGCTATAATATTCTGCATTCATAAAATAAACTGTAACAAAAATGCTAAAAGTAAAATTTCAAGTAAATATAAAATTACAATTAATGCCATACATTAGATTTAGTGGAAGAGAACTTGGAATCTTTTAGCACCCAGAGTAAGATGTAGCAAATTCTGTCAAGTACTTTAAAATTCTATAGTCATTTAAAAAGCTTCTTAAATGATCGATTCTTTCTTTTTTCTTTTTCTTTTTTTTTTTAAATATATTTTATTGATTTTTTACAGAGAGGAAGGGAGAGAGACAGAGAGCCAGAAACATCGATGAGAGAGAAACATCGATCAGCTGCCTCCTGCACATCTCCCACTGGGGATGTGCCCGCAACCCAGGTACATGCCCCCGACCGGAATCGAACCCGGGACCTTTCAGTCCGCAGGCTGACGCTCTATCCACTGAGCCAAGCCGGTCTCGGCGATTCTTTCTTTTTTCATACTCATCATAGTAACTGCTACCACAGTTGCTATTTAGAAAAGTAAGCATTCTACATACATAACTCTAATCAAAGACATACTATGTTAAAGAGACACTGCATATGACCAGATCAGGAACTGGGGTCTGATATGAATATTGGTAGTTGAGCTTTTGCAGTCATATTCTTTGAAAAAGGCAAATATTTAAGTAAGGAAACATTCATCTAATTTCCACAAATGGATCTCTGGTGCTGGCTCTGTTTTATCCATTTATTTTAGGAGAGTAATGTTAATAATATGTTCTGCACTGTGGGATCAAGATTAACAAAGCATCACATTTCTTTAACAAACTTAAAATTACCTGGCCATGAATTCAGTCTTAGTGACATCCAACAGAGAGAAAGAAGAAAGAAAGAAAGAAAGAAAAAAGAAAAAAAGAAAGGAAGGAAGGAAGGAAGGAAGGAAGGAAGGAAGGAAGGAAGGAAGGAAGGAAAATTCATTCTATAAGCAAGATCATATTTGATAAAATTAATCATGGAAAAAAGTATGTTATTTTGAAATGTCCTGGAAAGTAGTCCAAGAACGTTCTTAGACATACTTTCTTGTTAGATTAACCAAAGCTATTGGAAAGAATTTCAGAAATATCGGGAATGTACTTATGTTATCATGCAAACCATGTTTAACTCACAGATGTAATTATATTGTACCACAGCTTTTCAACATAAAAGAACATATTTAATGAATGTGTGAGGAAAAGCCCACAAATGATAGTTATTTCCCCCCAAAATTTCCCAGGCACATGCTTTAATATTCTCTAGCTGTCTACTTATCTATCTATAGAGAGAGTCCTTATTGCAAAATCACTAGTGGCAAATTAATAATTTGAGTTTCATCTTTGTTTTTGCTTGATGTAATAATTGTGGGATATTTATGGAATATGCTTGGCCTTACAATTTATGATTACTTGTATTCCTTTTAGTATACAGTACAGGTAATTATTATTTTTTTATTTTAATCAAATATTATTAACCTAAATATGAGTTGATAAGTTTTGAACAAGTTGTTAAGTACCACAGAAATTCTTAGATCAGTAATTCCAAAGTGGGTTTTTTTCTGATTTATTTCCAGCACTACACCAAATTATTTTTACAGGCAAATGAGTGTTGTATTGACTTTTTCATTGTAAATAACAAGTGCAGAATATCAGGAATAATAAAAATAAGCTATAATTTTAAAATGTGAATATAAACTCGCAAAATTATTGATAATCATGGAAGCTATATGATTAGTGTCAGAGGGCTCATTATACTACACTCTCAATAGTGTGTACTTGACACTTTTCTAATAAAAGTGTGTGTGTGTGTGTGTGTGTATCTCCATAGTGTGTTGGTCCCTAAGATTTAAAGTTTCTTACCGGAAATGTAGGTTCACGTAATGAATTTTCCTTCATCATATATGGTTTTGAATTGTTTGAAGACCAAATGTGACAAAATTTTGAGTTTATCTCTCTCTCTCTCCCTTTTTTCCCCATACAGATAATGGAATTGTGCTGAAAATAATCACAATTTACAACCAAGACACAGAATCAATGGAAGAAGTAATTCCAGAAGGATTTCAGATATTCAAGGTA